AAAAAAAAAAAAAAATAGAAGAAAAGGAAGAAGAAAAAAAAAGTGACAAATAATTTAATCAATTGATTTTATAATTATTTGTAATTTTTTAATAAATTTCATGAAACTTGTTAAACTTTTTGAATATTTACTGAATTTTAATATTGGATTTGTAACTTTTGTTAATTTTTTTGTCACAGTATACAATTTTTTTTGCTAAATTTTTTGTCACAGTATCAATTTTTTATTGAATTTTTTGTCATAATATGCAAAAAAAATTTTTTGTTGTAATATGTAAATTTTTTTTTGTTGCAATGTTACCAAATTTTGTATTAAATTTTTTTACTGTAATACTTGATGAATTTTTTTAAAGTAAATTGAATTGTATCTTTTTTTTTTCAATTTCCCTCTTATTAACTTGTAATTTTTGGATAACAAACTATTAATGATAAACCTATTGGATAAAAATTTATAGTATATTAAATAAGTTACATAAACTTATATTAACCATGTAGCATGGTTGCGAATTAAAAAAAAAAAAATATTATATACACTTTTGTTACACAAACAGTCAGTCATAAAGGTAACACAGAACTCGCTTCTTTAGAACTTAGACTCCTTTCAGTGAAATATGGAACACCATAACCCAGTTTCGACAATCTATTCTGCCTTGGAAAACGTTCCTATCATTTTAGCGCCACAATTTTCCGCGTTAAAACCTGTAGGTTCATAATTCATCTTATTAGCATTCGCCTAATTCTTGAAAGTTTGAAGATATCTTTATTTTTCTCGATTCGCAGATAATAATTTCACCGGAATTTAATCTCGATCTTCCAACCGTAGTAAGCATTTGGCATTCAGCATTTGCAAACCCTCCAAAATTTTAAATCATTTCTCGTTATGAATTTGGTTATTAAAAATTTTTTCGTACCTTTTTAGAGTAAAAGTGAATTCGAACTTGAACGTAGTATTGTTGCTGAAACTGAAAGGTGTAGACAGGAGAACGACGATTTAGTACAACTACGGGCTCAGAAGTTAAAGGCTCTTCATGAGGAGAGAATTCGAAAGCAGAAAGAAGAAGCCAGAAAGATAGCACCTGGCTTTTTGGACACGGATCAGAAGATCTTGACGCCCACAAGGGCTAGTCAGCAGTTAGAGAATAGTAGTAACACAGTGATTAACAACGGTGCAGAGATTGACAATCAGAAAAGGTTGCATTCGCGATCTACGTCGGATGAAAGGGTGGAACGAATGGAGGGGGGGAGAAGAGGTAAAGATGTGTAAAAATTTTTACATGAAACTCATGACAATCATCGATTGATAGATAAAACAAATCCTTGCATTTCGTGGATTCAGGTCAAAGCGAGGTCACTGGTGCACTTGTTTGAAGAAAGTCTTCCACCACGAAACCCCTGGAATTCATCCAATTCGGTTCAAAATGATATGTCAATACTGAAAGAGATGATCGTGCTGTCAAATGGAACCCAAAATTACATTTCTAATGGGCACATCACATCACCACCTGTCATGGGACCATACGTTGTACCAGAGGTATCTCCATTGGCACCCACAAATCCAACCAGGTCATTTCATCCGTCACCTCTACTTCAACCCGTTGCAATGCCTTTACATCAATCACCCAGTCATTCATTTACACTAGGACCACCACTATCGACCCATGGTAATCCAGAGTTATCTCCTCCAAATAGTTACACACTTTCATCCTCAAGTTCAATGAAAATCCGCAGTACTTCTTCCACAAACCATCAACAACGAACCTATCCCACCACTACCACTACCACGACATATGTCCGAGAACGTGGATCCTCGAATCAATTACATCCTATTCCTCCTACTAGACCTCCGAAGGAGGTAATCTCGTCGTCGTCATCCACAACTACCACCATCACAAACCACTCTTTGACGAATGAGGAAAAGGGTGAAAAGGATGAGGCCCACGACTTGATCAAAGAGTTTACGAACATGGGGTTTACAAAGTCGCAAGCCGTGGAAGCTTTGGAAAAATATAATAATGACCCTCATAAAGCAACAAATTATTTATTGGACATGCAACAAAATTATTGATCTAGGAGAACTTTCGCTTACACGTCGCGACTATAATACATAAATAAGTAGATTTAGCAATAGTTATCATCTTAAACCTAAGATTTTTCATCCTGTGCATTATTTTTAAGTTATTATTATTATTTTTTTTTTGCTAAGCCCACATCAGTTACTGTTTAGTAGGAAATGAGTGCACACTTTTAATAAAAATAAAAGAAAAAGAAGTCATTAGAAGTGCAGCGTCGCAGTGTTCAATTAAAAAATATGTTTCGGAAAATTTATTGGGAAATAGTGATGAGTGAAATTTGTTGTTTGTCGATTGGTGGACAAAGGTGAATCGCCGAATCGCGTGGTTGTGATAATCCTATATAAACATTTTTTTCGATTCGTATATCTTTATATCTTCGCATATTCTTGGAATAAGCGAAAATATAGAGGTGTATAAATGTTAGCCACAACAGTAGAATTTACCCATACAATTCCTTTTTTGTTATGCATAGGAATCATTATATTTCTATATAATAAAACTCACCTTCTATTTAGACTCCTGTTGTCTATAACCCATTTCGGTTTTATTACTTATAAAATGTGTGTGTCTGTCCCCTCATTTTTTCAAAGAAAACTAAGGGCACCAGTGAGTCCATCGCAAATGTTGGATGACATCAATGGGTTGGACAAAATTCCGAAACACCTTGCCGTAATGTTCTGGGGAGACATTAGAGAAGAGACGTTGATCGAGGCAGCACAGCTATGTTGTTGGGCTTGGTGTTTTGGAATAAAGGTGTTGAGTGTATATGAGGCAGAAGGTGTATATCCGAGTCTCATTCGTTATATCAATCTGACAGGATTCTTTTAATTATGACTCGTGAATGCTATGATCTGTTCGCTAATCGGCAAACTTGATCAATGCAGGACATTTGAAGCAAAACGCAAAATTATTGCAATCGCACATAAATAGAATTTCACATCGTTTTTTTATTAGAGAAAAGATCTTACCATCGATGCGTGTCACGGCGCTTGAAGAGTCAACAATAAATGCGCACCTGGAAAGCGAAGATTTGGGTCAACCAGGTAAATTATTCAACCATTCATTTGTCATCTTTGACCGAGCGAATTCCTGAAATTGAAAATGTATCCGCGTCAGACTTACAGGTAAATTTGGTTTCACGCGAGGACGGCCGGATGCGCATAGTGGAAACGACGAAAAGTCTGGCCAACGACGTAATACAAGGAAGATTTAAGAGTGATGATTTGGATATCGGAGAATTGAATCGGCGACTCAGCGGTACATATAAACACTCGTTTCTGCTCAACAGTCAAAAAAAAAAAAAAAAAAAAAAAAACCCCCGTATTTCTTATTATTCTCTTTCAATTTGTTTCCCAAGTGCCAAGATTCCCGGAACCTCAATTGCTCATTCTATTTTCTCCCAGCATTGACATCGACGGGTTTCCACCTTGGCACATTCACCTTACCGAGATATTGTAGGTATTCCCCATCATCCCAACGCCAATGAGAGAACTTTGTAAATGATATTTATTTGACCTTCCTTTTTTTTTTTATTGGATGACACAAATAGCCATGTGCCCGGCAATGAAGGATTCCACTATTCGATCTTTTTGCAAGGATTGCGTAAATATTCAAAATGTGATCAGAGATTTGGAAGATAAATTAAATAAATCGAATAAAGAAATCAATGTGAGAAATAAATAATTTAATTCTTCGCAAATATTGCGGTTGTTCTGAATGGTTCGAGTCTGAAATTGTTCTTCGTACTACGCACATAAAAATAAAATCTTAAAAACACATGATTTTAATGCCGGCTGCAAAGATAACGATAAAGCCGACACTTTTTATCCAATCAAATCTCGTAATCTAACTGTGAAAAAGAAAAAAAATTTTTTGGGGGGTTTTTTTTCTTTTTTTTTTTTCGGTGTCGCAGTGCTCCGTTCTGCTAAAGTTAAAAAAAGTCTTCGGCGCTAATCATCAAGTTATTCAAAAGAAATGGCCGATACTCTTTCTCTCCGCGATACGCTTGAAGGTATTTAAGGTCATAAACACTTTATAAATTCGAATTAGCTTAATAAAATATCAAACTTTCAACAGGCCATTCGAACTGGGTGACAGCTATCGGTGAGTGACATAGTGTGTGTGTTCAGGAAATTCTGGGGAATTATCTCAACGCAAAGCTCGAAACGCATTCTTTCATGTTAGTCCAAGAATTTATGTTAACTTCGAAACATTCTAATTTGCATATCTCCAGCTACCACCTCGGAAAATCCTGACATGATTTTATCGGCTTCCCGTGGTAAGTCGAATGTGCATCTGCAAAGAATTTCACCTGATTACGATTATTTCGAGCGATAAAGTCTAATGCTTTAACGATACTTTCCATAGACAAAACAATCATCCTCTGGACCTTATCCCCTCATGACAATGATACTTATGGCGTTCCGCGCAAGGTGCTCACCGGTCACAATCATTTCGTGCAAGATGTGGTCATCTCATCCGACGGTCAGTTTGCATTGTCCGCTTCTTGGGACAAAACTCTCCGTCTTTGGGACTTGAATACGGGTACGACCACCCGTCGGTTCGTGGGTCACGATAAAGATGTGCTTTCCGTATCCTTTTCGCCCGATAATCGTCAGATCGTGTCAGGATCAAGAGATAAGACCATCAAATTATGGAATACACTTGGTGAATGTAAATATACCATTCAAGAAGATGGTCATTCGGACTGGGTATCCTGTGTGAGATTCTCACCTAATCCTTCAAATCCTGTGATTGTATCATGTGGTTGGGATAATTATGTCAAGGTGGGTTGTCTTATTTCAATCAGAATTCTTGTACATGACCATGATGCACCATTTCAATAATATTTGCTACTTCGGAGGAGAGTTCCTTCCATGAGAGAAAATACGGATCTGAGTCAATGCTTGCTTTTTTTTTTCTTTTAAAGAATACTTCATGCATTATCATCTTTTCTCACTCGGAAAATCATTAATCACTTCATTCCTTTTTAGGTTGGTTTGTTTTTCTTAGAGACGCGTGAATATAAGATGATTCATGTGTAATTCTCTTAAATAATGCTCCCTCTCGCATCCGTTCCTAAGGGCTAGTTTGAGTTTTTCATTTTGCGTGAACTGATAAATCCTTACTTATCTAGGTCTGGGAGCTTACCAAGTTCAAGATTCGAACCAATCACATTGGGCACACCGGATATATCAACACTGTCACTATTTCTCCCGATGGTTCACTTTGCGCTTCTGGCGGAAAAGATTGTATCA